TTTGCTATGCTAATACCTATACTAAAACTTAAAATAAAAGTATAAAAATATTCCCCTAATATTAAGCTTTGCAAAAATATGTATTGCTTAAATAAATGATAAATATGTTGGGCCTGAACTACTTGATATGCAGCATCCCAAACAAAACAAGTGTCTTACCAAAAGATGACCAAGCCCCTGATAATCGAATACTTTGTCCTCATACATGTTGGCCAATTCTTTGCTTAGCTGGATTGCTTTCTCCCACATCTGCAGGTAAGAGAAACAAAGCAACAACGACAGAAATGAATGATTGCTTTAGCCATTTTTTTTTTTACCACAGAAACTGTCAGCTAACTTTAATTTGGGTAGTTCTTTATTAAACATGGCTTTCTTATTATGATTATGACGACACATTTTCATCTGTAGATCTCAGAGGGTACATCTACATGTGCGCTTTACTGCGGAGTTGACTAATTAGGTCCGCAGTAAAGTGTCACTGTTTACACATTTGGCAGGATTAGGGTACAGTAAATTAACTCTACTGTAAGTAATTAAGTGCAACTGGTGGAATAATTAAGTGTGACAAAATGCACACGTGGACAGTGACAGGGGCTGCCTGGGGCAGGAAAGTGCTAAAGTGCAGGTGGCTGTCTTCCACATGGCCCCTCACTTCAGCACCCTCATGTCCCAGTTAGCATCTCCGCCACCCCATGCCACCACCCATAGCATGGGGCTGACCTGCCGAGCCTGCTGGTAGCCCAGGGCTGTTCTTCCCCAGCAAAAACTGCTGCTGTCCCAGGCACATGTGTAGATGCTGCACTTGGGAGCAGCAGACTCCAGCTCAAACACCTCTGGAGATTATTGAGTCATGTTAATTTCATGTGTAGATGCACCCACGATGATTAACAAAGAGCCACTGTCATTAGTCCTAGTGGCAACACTGATACTCTTGGATCTTGCACAGGCAATTTCCTCTCTTTGTGCCTCAGTTTCCCTATCAGGCTTCATAGGGAGATTGAGACCTGGAGAGAAGAAATCATATGCCTCCTAGGTTCTTCTTGAAATTCAAAAGCTTTCTTGACAGTCCCAACCTTATAACTTTTCACTGATTGATACAAAGGCTCTACTGTGATGCCACCTTTGCCCTTCTTTGAAATCCAGCTTCTGCTAACTGAATTCACCCATTCAATTATTTACCCGTGTTCTGTCAAAGCCCATTCAAACTGCATGGAGTGACTGACCTTGCCCTTGTCAAAATAAGAGATAATTTCCTGGTAGAGTTTCTCCTTGAGTTCTTGTTGTGAGTAGACATAATAGCTGTCCTTCTGCAGCAGGTAGTGGGCACATGGCTTATCAGACCACTAAGAAGAGAAAAAAAAACAGACAACTGAAAACACCTAAGATGCGCTCAACAAACTACAGTCTACCGAGTGGGCTAACTCTTGGGTGGATTTATCTGAGCCAAATCAGCAGTAATGCACAGACAAATGTAAGTTATACTACAAGCATAAATGGTCTGAAAACAGGTAGAAAACCTTACCCACAGATGTACCATCAGTTTAACTTGCATCAGTTTTTTAAAAAGTCAATTTAACTCGTGTACTTTTGGCACTGGCATATTTAAATCAAATCTGAAACCTGATACAGTAGCTTATCTTGCATGTACAAATTTACTGACATGCTGAAGTAATATCTGACAGATTTACACAGACAAGAGTGGCTTAAGTAAACCAGCTTGAAACAACCCTTGAGCTAAGCTGGTGCAACTCTTTGCTTACATGTTAAAAGCGTATGTGGAGCAAGCAAAAGTAGCAGAATTGTGAGACTTTTAGAGACAAGTGGCATTTGGTTGTAGTACAAAATGGCTGTAGCAATCTGTCTGCCTGCAAAGCTGTACCTTTCACTTTGGTTCATGATAACGTAAACTGATCAAAGAAAAGGACTACACAGATGCTCTTCCTTCAGTTCAAACCTGGAATTTTTCCATGCAAGTCAATAAGAAGCAAGTTTAAACCAAACTGAAATAAGCAATTCCTAAATCCAAGTAACAGTTTCCACATTTGAACAAGTCCAATTAAATTACTGCATATTTATAAGTACAAAATCCAAATTCATAAAATGAATTGGGAAAACAAGACTTCACAGCAATACAATTCACAGGAACACTTACGAATAAGCACTCTGCTCCAATTCCCTTTTTCTACTCCTACACCGCCCTCAACAGTCCAGGAAAGAAATTCAGCACTGGTATGCATGCGCGTATTTGTGTACGTGTGGTTGTACGAGTGTTTGCTAATAGTACACACACAACTTAGCACTGATTTATGCCATGGCCGAGTTTGAAACACATAGCACATTACCTATTCTTTGCACCCCTGTTTTGATCTTGCAAGTCTTTAGTGGCATGAGTTTTACACTGTTCATCTTTTTCCTTCCCTATCCAAGTTAAAATTCCCCCAAACCTTGCAAAATAAACCAAAATTGCCTTTCATGAGTCACCTGGAGAAGCTCTGCATGGAGAAGGAGAGTGTTTGCAGCTTCTGTGAAGTTCTCACAGTCTCTGTGCAAGTCCCGGAGTTTATATAAATACCTGGATAAATTAAAAAAAAAAAAAGTCAGCATAGATTTGAGATGCAAGTGCCTGAACTTGACATAAATGAGACCCAAGAAAAATAAAATGACTTTACTAAATGAAATGGTTTACCTGAGATATATGTCCTCTCGTTTCTTCTCCTTATAAAAATTCTGCCAAGAAAATAACAAGTCACTCTAATGTAAAGAAAAACTGTCAGTCTATAAGGAGGCAGACTGAGCAGGCAACTCATCTAACCATCTTAGCTACTTATGTCGCCTTCCTTACCACCATACTCAAGTAAATCACACCTTTCAGACAAGGTTCTTTGGGTCAATGTGATATCTTTTATTAAACCAACTGAAAAGTTGGGGAAAATATTCACTGCAAGCTTTCAGGCACAAACACCCGTCTTAAGTCACAGGGAGAGCCTAATGTTGTTCTGTGTTCTCCCGGATGGAATAGAAGCCAATATGCATAAAGCAGGTCTGTGGAAAAGCAAACGCCTGGCAGTGAGGATCAGAGGTGATGGGAGACAATAGGTGAGACAGACAGGTAGGTAGGAGACCCTTCACAGTATTGCACAACCCTTCCCACATTGCACTTTTTAGCAAATACTTCCCTTGGGACTGTTGTACTTTGCTCAAAGTTGTTCACGCAGGACTAGCTAAGACATCTAGTGGAAACAGATCAAGGTTTAGGATAGGATTTTCAGATATGCTCTGTATTAATCTAACTACTAGGGAAGCCTGTTGTACCATTCCTACTGACCTTTACAGAGGAAGAGTAAATTTAGTACTGAGCATTTCTGAAAATCCCACTTATTCAGGAATAAATATTTCTGATGGTGTGCTAAGCCTGCCACATTCATTCTGAATTGCACAAAATAAGTCAATAAACTTATTTATTGACTCTCTCCATACCAGAATAATAGTCAATAATATCACAGCCCTTCTCCATACCAGAACATTGACAGTGCAGCTCATGCGGTTCTCTTTACTTCCATCGTTCATAATGGTCCTGTAGTCCAATAGGTTTTCCAACAGACTACTGACTAGTAAAGCAAACACCTCTCCAGAACTTGACAGATACTTATGCTTCCGGCAGTGTTCCAGCAGGCTGTAGGTGTATCAGAGAGAGGAAAAAACGAGAGAGAAAGAGAAGGACAGAGAGATTCAATTAAGGCTCTGAACCATACTTCTACTAAAAAGTATCTTAATGGTGTTGCATGCATCTTTGTTAACAGAGGTGTCCAAGCTTCCCTGCCCTGTTCATCAGAAACCTATCAGCTAGAAGAGAACAGAGTGCAGTGTCCACAAACACCTGTTATTCACGTTAAACTGGTAGTTATCAAATCAAAGTACATTTCACCAGAACCTGAGTTCTATTCTCATCTTTCCCGCTGACCCATTGTGTGATATATTCATCACACAATGTGACTTGTTGTGTGATACATTATTCATCCACCTGTCACCCCACCCTCTGCTGGTGGGAAACCAATAGACACACCAAGTGAAGTGGCATGCACTTGATACCAGATGCAGCAAACAAAGGGGGATGCTGTGATGCACTCCACTGGAACTACACTGTTCTTAGCGGTGGCAGATGACAGAACAAAGAGCAACGGTCTCAAGTTGCAGCAAGGGAAGTTTAGGTTAGATATTAGGAAGAATTAAGACACTGGAACAGGTTAACCAGAGAGATGGTGGAATCTCCATCCTTGGAAGCTTTTGAGACTCAGCTAGGCAAAGCTTTGACTGGGATGTTCTAGTTGGGGATGGTCCTGTCTTGAGCAGGGGGTTGGACTAGATGACTTGCTGAGGTCCCTTACAACCCTAACTTTCTATGATTCTAGCATGGTCCTCTGGGGACAATGGCATGCCATCTCTTATTTTGGACACTTACAGTTTCTCCAGCAAAACCTTGTACTGCTCATCCCCTCGACCCCCTTCAACTTCTTGGTCCAGTCTGGTTATCAGCTCATTTTCAAACTAAGGCAGCAAAAAATAAACCCAAATTAAAATAAAATTCCTACAGCACGAAATGTCATATTTGTAGCAGGTGTTCCCAAACTGCACCAGCACCAGGCACTGATCTCAATAAGCAAGCTAAAGCATCGATGCTTCTATTATTTTAGCAGAGGAAAAATAATGAAACAGAAACAAAGATGACAGGGAAGGAACATGGAAATCTGAGTAGCTGTTCTTCCGTTTCATAGGCACAAGAAATTGACCCACTGGGATACGTCTCCCTGATCCTAACAAATGTCTCCTCATTCAGTGCTCTCAAAGGAGAGCAAAGCACTCAGTGAGGTTGCTGTTAAATACGATGTTGAGAGGAACGTCTTGACGCACAAAGGTTTGCTGAAGAGGCTAATCCTGTGTGCATGTACACAGGAGGGACCCTGAGTAAACAGAGTCTCATTCATGCTTCAAGCGATGACGACAAACCTGCAGAGGTTTAGGCAGCCTTGCCCCACGATACCCGGGTGTTTATACAGCTAGAACTCAATTACCACCAGGATCAAATGTTTGCGTTCTAAGAATCCATGGTATTTAAGCACTTCCCAAGATTTTCAGCAGTTCTTGAAAATCCTGGGGCAGATAAGGCCATAAGACCAATGACCCTGTGGGACATGACACCCCTATGAGTATTTGAGCTGAGGTCTAACTGGGGAAGGACTGACATGCCTACAGTGCTCAGGGAGATGTGCGTCACATTTGACAACAGTCTCCTCTGTCTGAAATGCAGAATGTCAAGGCAGCTGCCTCCTGGATGAATGATTCCTACCATCTCCAGGGAGAAGAATGTCTGCAGCATAACTAAAGTGTCCCCAGCCTGCCAGCTGAGATGCTAATGGCTAGCATCCCATGAGGCAAACTGGAAGAGAAGCCCCGACTAACAATTGTTACAGCTGAAAAGATAACCGGGGACAAAATAAGGGCCTTCTTTCTCTTCTTTCCCTACCAGTGTTTTCTGACTAGCAATAAACTAAAAGGTCCAGTGGAATTAGCATAAGACTGGGAGTTCGAGACCCAGGTTTTATTCCCAACTCTGCCCATCATGTAGCTTCAGGCAAGTTGCTTCACGTCTCACTGCCACCCTTCTTCATTCAATAAAATGGGGAGACTGGTACTTGCTGAGGTATTATGATTCTCAGATTAAGGAGGCCAAGGGCTATGAATTATTACCATCTGAAGTGGGAGACTTCATTCTCAACCAATTCGCATGACAGCAACTTAATATTTTTAGTTAAAAAAGCCTGCCTTATGAGAACTATTGCTACAATAAATGTGGACAGTTAACATTAGTTTATGAAGTATCCACTCACAGGTGTAGACACCCAGGAACACAGAAGTGAATTGACTAAGCCAAGGATGCTGAATAGCACAACCAAGAAAGAAAACCCAAGAGCCCTGGCTCTGTTCCTGTTCCAAGTGCAATGCAAAAGCATCCCAGAGTGCTCCGTGCTATATGTGCATAAAGGCTTTTAAAAGTTATTTTTGGCAAACAGGAAAGAAAACATGTCATGAAACATCTGCCCTGATGAGTCCAGGGTCCCTTACCATATGGAAGTTTCTGTTCCCACTAAAGTTGAACTCGCATTGCATCATGTCGAAGAAAATGGGGATAGTCGCCTTCCGCAGCTCTGGTTCAGGAGTAAGGGTTACCTCCAGGATTGGACCTACCATCGATGGGATGAACTTGATCTTATGAGGGCCTATGGAAGAGACAAGGTTAGGCACAGCCTCCAATTAACGAAAGGCAAGTGCTTGAAGATGCTGTGAAATGCTTGCATCCACAGCTATATCAGTCATGTCAAGGTAATCATAAGGTGGTTCAGGCAAACAATATAGGAGTTCTCTGCATGCGTGACAACAATTTGGTTGCAGCTTTTTTGGATTCTAGCTCTAAATATTCAGTCGAATTCATAAAAGGATTCTAAAAAATATAGTCAACAATCAATGTCACATGCACTCCTAAATCACCAACACACTTTTGCAAGTCCCATTTTTGATTTTCACATGCCATAACACTTTGGAAAGATCTCTATGTGAACTCATGAATATAAGTTTGGATTGACATACAACTGACAACAGTAATGCAATGTCCTGGACTTCCAAGGAGAGCCTAAGACAAGTCTGCTTCCAGAAAAAAAAGAAAGGATCATTTGTACGGATATATGACCTGCGCGGTTGGGATAACCACAAACTCCAAACAAGTCAGGTTTCGGAGAAAAAAATTTAAATGCAGTTTCAGAGGTAAAATAAAAGTCATTGTATGTATATGGAACTTACCTAGGTTGTACCACATATCCCTTATTCTGAAGCCAAGTTCTTTCCTCATGTCCCCATATCTAGAAAGAAAAAAGAAAGAAAGATGAAAAGCCCACATGCTTTGAAATGCACTTTGCAAAGCTGTCAGCAAAATTTACCAGCCCACCCATAGAATCTATTAGCTTGACCTTGTACTTGGTGGTTTTAGTTTGTCCTTCCTGCATTATGGCTGGGGAAGCATTTAATCTATTATTTTGGGAACTAAGGCTACAACTACCCTCCTATCTCAGACCCTGCAGTAGTACAGCTTTTTCTGTAACGATTTCTTTCTTTTAAAATGAACCAACATAAACATGCATAGACCATTGTGTGGCTGTATCATTACCTGGCCAGGAACAGAGTTCAGCTTTGGATTCTGTAGGATGTTCTTAGCTATTTCTTTTCTAAAAGCAACAATGACTGAGTACAATTAGCTTCAAACTTACTTCTTGATAATTTTGTTGCGTTTGGCTTGTGAGAAGTTCTCTAGCTGGAGGGATTCATGAGTGAGAAAAGCTACTGCCAAGTGGAAATAACTGTTCCACAGCTGTGGAAAAGAAATAGTTAAAGTGAGGAAAATATAAAATAGAAGAGCAACACGCAGCACTACAGACTATAGTCCCCATTGCTGGAGACTCCCAGTCAGACATGAGGAAACACAGTTACAACAAATGGGGTAAAATGACCCAAAATTCCTCACCACAAAGGCGGCTGGATTGGAGGGGGAGATGAGAGGAGGTCAATGGAAGTAAACATGGAATAAGAGCTACCAGATCAGCCCATAAAGCTCTGTTCATTTTTGCCTGACCCACTTAAAAATGCTAAGGCCTCAAGACTTACCTACATATGTCAAATCTCCCCTTAAAATTCTCCTCTATTCTAATGCCCTTAAGAAGGGAAAAAAGACTGGCAACAGTTAAGGCAGCTGGTTTCCTGTAATTTGTTGTTGAGCAGTTGATGTTTCCCTGTTTCCTTGTGCTCTCCTGTGCCTGTATCCGCTTGTTGCCTCTTTGCGACAAGATCCAGCTTTCTGTCCTTTGCTCTACGTGCTGTACCATGAGGGACTGTTTAATTACCTAGATACTAGGAATATTACGAATATAAAGTTTTCCATTTCTTTAACAATTTCTTCAAAATCCTCACAGCACTGCAGTGAAAGCAAGGAAATATTACCATACATCCATATTACTAACAGAAGACTGAGATGCAAAGAGGGACAGAGGCAGAGAGGGATCTTGGAGTCAGGACTGACTCCAGGATGAATATGAGTCGCCAATGCGACGAAGCAATAGGCAGAGCCAACTGCACCC